CAACGACCTAAGCCCAACCTCTTGAGTTAACGTCTTCCTAGCCCAACTATAAATTTTTTTCACCCCATGGTATGCATTTAAGTCGCAAAATCATTTGTCTAGTTTAGATTAAATTGTACTAAAATTAAAATTTCAAACTCGACAATAATTTTATGAAAGAAAAAATATTTTATTTTTCTAATTTTAATTTGCTACTACAATTTATATTAAAAATAAAAATTTAAACCACACAGACGCAGTGAGTATGGAATTAGATTCTGTACTCCCACACCTTTTCAGTAGCCATTGGCGGTGGGGGGAGAATTTCTAAATGCCGATAACAATACTAAGGTAAAATGAAAAATGCTCTCCAATCACTCCATTTAAAAAAAAAAGGTAAATACACTAGCTAGTACAGGTTAATTATTCATCCAATGAAATTGTACTTACAAGTTGTGTATGTGTGTTTTTTTTTTACTTTTACTTCGTTTACGTGCGAATGAATTTACTGAATATAATCAACCTAGCTATATTTCAATGGACAAGGAAAAAATAAGAAATTAAAGATCAATTTATTCTGGTCCTCCTTACGGCCGGCTTCTTCTAGAGGAAAATGTACGGTCACTTTCTACCATGAGGCTGGCAACATTATATTATTACTACCAAATAATTGAAAAAAGAATTAACAATTATATCAGTTTGTTGAAAAAGTGATAAATATGAATATTTGGACCACAATATGTATATGAATTATGCATTTATATACATAAAAAGAAATGAACTGATCAATGCCACTACCCTAGCTAGTGAATGACCACAACGATGCTGATACCTTTTGAAACTACATTTTCTGCTTCAGTGAAAGCACATGATCTTGCAGACTAAATGCATGCATACTACTACTACATTACGTAGACAAAGCCAAACGTAAATGTCTAAAATGATTTTCGTTTCGTTTCGTTTCGTTTCTTTCTTTTTTTTTTCTTTCTCTATTGGACAATTCTAATGGTGTTACTATCAAACTGCAAGCCAATTGGGATTGAAGGAACCGCTGTTTTCTTCTTTTCCTTCGCTACGTTAAGCATGTGGTATTCGTGGAAAATAATTTTTATTACAAGATCATTGATTTTGATTCTGCTATGACTATCTTTTTATTTATTTATTTATTTATTTTAAGGTAGAAATGTTACATTTCATCAAGTTCACTAGAAGGTCAAAAGCAAAAATGTTTGGAAAAATTTAAATTAAGGGCGGTGGAAAGATCTAAATTAATAAAAGGGGTGTAACTTTTCCATAATTTAGATTAGGGGTAGTAAATTAAGTTATACAAATTTTAAAATCAAAATATTTATGCAATGACCGAATTACCCTTTCTTTTCGAGTTTCATACTTTCATTACATTCAAATCTAATGGTACAATTTTCTCAATCTCAAATTTCATCAAATTAGAATGTGACTATTTACTTTGTAAACGGGTTCTCTACATATTAAAATTGGATTTATATTACCTTTCCATCAAAATTTTATAATGAAGCATGAAAGTTACAGTATCAATATTTTTTTTATGTTAAAATTCATCCATGAGAAACAAAGCAAAAAGAGGTTTACGAAATTACGCACAATCGAGCAAAGTTGCAAGCTCATCACCAGAGTTATCCTTCCTATATTTATACATTAAAGGATATAACTTGATTTACACATGAAATGTGAAGTTGCAGCATATATATATATATATATATATATATATATATATATATATTTCCGTTTTAGCAACAAGACTAACAAAACACAGTAGATTATCTCATATTTCTTGCATATGATGATCACAAAGATATGAGAAATAATCGGCCATAAATTTTGAACAGAAAAGTGAAGCGTCATGGGAGCTCTGTTCAGTTTGCAAATTTTGTTGCATTCAGTGCTCTGTCCAACTAGCTTTTTCCAGCTCCAACCTTAAGCATTTCCCTTTTGCAACATGAATTCATGAACATTTTTGCCCTTCCCCCTCATGTCTGAAATCATCTTCTATGTAGAATCAATAATTTATTTCAGCAGAAAATATTCTAAATGATCCAGCACTCTCCTAATGTTATCTTCTTCAAATTCAGCTCATTCAAGCTATTAACCTTAATTCTAGAAGGCTGGCCAATGTACCAGAAGGTCCAGAAGCATCTATTTTTGAGTTAGCAATTCCTTTCCTACGATCAACAATTTTGCATGCTTTTCAGATCTAGAAATCTAAGCCAAGGATGGAAAGTTGAGAGAACAAAAGATTTTGTTATTTTTTTTAAAAAAAACAAATACCAAATAAAAAATAATGCAATCCTGTAAAAGGATAAATGTTTAAACTTTATAATTTTTAAAAATTAAATTACTACCTCTAATCCAAATTCTAGAAGAGTTACACCCTTTTTATTAATTTAGATCTTTCTACCGCCGTTAGTCCAAATTTTCTCAAAATGTTTTACCTATATATCTCCTTTGCAAATTAAAACTAACCCTGTCCATGTGGTCTTAAACCATGAAATAGTTTCAATGTAATAACACACAAGAAGGAGGTGCTACTGTGCTAGCCTTTTCTTTTTATTATTGACGACTAGATTATTTCAACTTTCAAGAAACATAATTAAAGAACATTTTATGAAGGTATAGTATGCAGGAAATCTTCTTCTAAAACTGTTTTAGGGCTTACTGCTGAAATTCTTACACTGCAGGCCATGAGAATTTTCGAAATAAATCCACGTCTCCAAAATCAAGTGGCATTTTAAGGAAAAAAAAATTACAGAGTTTCTCTGATATTTTATAATTTTATCGATTTTTCTCTATTTTTTAATTTTTTTTAGTAGAACTCAATTTTAACTTTAGCATATAATTTTTCAATTTTGCTCTATTTACTTTTGTTTATTCCAATCAAATCTTACTATCTAAAAATATAAAATTTACTACATTGTTTACCTTATTCTCTCTCATTTTTACTGTGAACAAACTACCTTTAAATATTTATTTATTTATTTATTTATTTCTAATTATTTTTTATTCAACTGGCTCTATACTAAACAAAAACCAACACTTCACCAGTAACTCCGCTAGTCCTTACAAAATTAACAAAAATAATTGGAAGAAAATAAATAAGAAAATATTTTATGATATGTTTTAGTTTGTTTGCAGTAAAACTGAGAAAGAATAGGGTATATAATATAATAATTTTTATATCTTTAGATAGTAAGATTTGATTGGATTGCAAATTTTATAGTTTTTGTTTTTAGTTTTATTTTTTTTAATTTCGCCGGCCTAAAACAAAACCAACTATCAAATCTTTTACCATTTTCTAATTCAAAATAAAAAAAAATCAATAAAATAATAATATAACTAAAAAAGTGTAGAATAATAAAATTAATTTTAATAAATAGTATTAAATTAAATAAATTTTCAACAATGAATTATTTTTAAAAATTTAACATTGAAAAAATTTGTTCAGATTTTTTTTTTTAAATGTTTTCCACTCTAATTCTTTATATTTACAAGACCAACCACTTTTTCAAATTAGAAAAGTGTATTTTTGAATATTCATCTTTTTAATCTCCTATTTGACTTTTTCACCTGAAAAAATCTTTACAAACCTTATTTTAGTTTATTTCATCTATATTTATTACGTCAAAAATAAATAAAACAGTGAGAAATATGTGTGTTATTTTTTTACAAGAGTTAGAATGCTATTGTATTTGCACTAAATTGTGAAAAATTCGCGCGTTTATTTTATTCCATCTAGCTAGTTAAAAATATTAGTATAAAATTAAAATTTCACCCGAATAGTACACGAATAGAAAAAAAAAACAAAAACTATAACGATTATTTTTTTTTTGTTTTAACTTTTAAAGATTAAGAAACGAAAATTAAATTAGAAAATACTTTCAGGACTGAAAAATCAGGCGCCTTATGAAAAAGGCCCAGTACGTTAGTAATAAAAGAAAGCCCAATATTACTTCAATAGAACGAGCCCTTTCTAGTCTTCTTCCCCAATCCCGGCCGCCGCTGCAACTGTCTGTGGGCAGCAGGAAACAACTCTTTCCGCCACCGTCTCCGGCATAACCAAGACTCCTTTTGCTTTCTTTTTCATCTCTGTTCTTCTCCCCTTCTCCCTTGATATTTTCTTTTTTTTCCAATCCGTCCAATTTAGTGGAATTCCGTCGAGGAGTCCGGTACGTTTTCCGTTTAGGTATCCGTATCCGACAGTGTCGTGTCGGATAAGTGGCGAGTCCAGGTAGCTCAAATTCCTGCTGCAGAGGGAGACTTGATATAGGTAGAATGGCAGTGATTGAAAAGAAGGCTCCAGTAATTGGCCTTTCATGGGAACCCCAGTTATCAACTTGGTTTTCAACATCATCAACAGCCTCATCATCATCATCATCTTCCCAGGATCATTTGTTGGCCAATCCTATTTCTTCTCAGAAATCAGAGGAACTGATAGATGGACTCTATGTCCCCCCTGTCCACAACCCTAGAAAGCTAAATAAATTGCTTCGCAAACAAGTTAAAGACACTGCCGGGAGAAATTGGTATGCTTCTTCTCCTATACGACTTTCTCTTTTCCGATTTCCAACTCTTATTCAGTAGTTTGTGGTTTTTTTATTTTTTATTTTTTATTTTTTCTTTATGTAAGTTAAAGTGGTGAAATCATTGAATTTTGTTAAGGACTTCTGTCCCTAAATCTTTGGTTTTCAACTGGTTTAGTTATGCCTATTGAATTAGAGAAATCGTTTCCATGTTTGTCATTTAAATTCTTGCACGAGTTAATGTTCCAAGAAGACAATCATATTACTGTGCTAGGAGGAACGGTGCTAATGACTTAATATCATAGAGCATTTATCCACGCTGATCGCTCCAACCTACCTTGTCACTCATGTAAATAGTTACCAATTTGACTAATGCTGATCATTTCCATGTTAAAAAGCTTTTGCACTACATATTTGTTGCATCCTCCAGTCACGGCAATGAACTTAATCCCATAGTAATAATTCTAACATATTTGAACATTTCTCTTTGCTAGTGTGACTTCCCCACTTCGTATTGTACACTTTTATCATCCTTTGGTAACCTAATTTCATCCGTGCTGATTCTGCAACATTATGATGCAGCACTAATTTGATTCTGTTTTTTAATTCTGTTTTCCCCCCTTTAACAATGTTTTATTTCCTGATAGGTTTGACATGCCTGCTCCAACCATCACCCCGGAGTTAAAGAAAGATCTGCAGCTCTTAAAGGTTCGTTCCCTTTGATCGTTGCAACTATTTTCTTCTCTTTCTTTGCCTAATTTGACTCTGCTTGTCTTGATGGGTGGCATAATCATTATGTCTTTGGGCTTAATTTACTGTGCCACTATCTGTGTAAGCTCTAGCAGGTGTAGAATTGACTGCCTCTTGCATATGATAATATCTTTTGCTTGAATTTTCCAGGATGTGAGAAAATTTTACATGTTTTCTCGCAGAGAACTTTATTGACTCTCCAAAGTTGCTGCCTCTTGTCTGTACACTTTTCGGTTCATGTGTCACTGTTTGATTTTGTCTCTTGTTCTATATATAACTGTGGGCTAGGGCCAATTGCAGCGTAAACTTTCAAATTAAATCTCTTCTTTATCGAGTCATTAGTTATAGAAAGTGTTGTAATGCTGGCTTCTGATCTCGACGGTTATCACTAGAGGTCATGTACCATTTTAGCAAGGTGGGAATCATTGAAATTTAGAAGTGGATAAAAGTATCAAAACTGTTGAAATTAATACGGGAACTATAATGTTTCCCTACCATATTGTGTTGTAGAATCCTTTGCAAGCTAACCTTTCCTCTTCTCATATTCCTGTCACTTTTTGGTGGAGATGGCATTAGCATCATTAAACAGCACATTGACATCATTGTATCCTTGGGATTGTTTGTAACTTATTGCAGCCTTACATTAAGGCCGAGTTTCGATCGTTGTAGTGTCTAACTCTTCGATGGAAGTGATGCTTTTGTGCTAGCCATGATTGGAATTTACTTGGAAGGTTGTTCTCCGTGACTAATGGATTTCATTTGTGGTTGCAGTTAAGGAGTGTGTTGGATCCGAAGAGACATTACAAAAAGGGTGATTCAAAATCAAAGACTCTTCCCAAGTTTTTTCAGGCAAGTTGTGGAATGTCCATCATCTGTCCCTTCAATATGATGGCATCAAATGTTTCTTATGTGTATTTACCAATTGTTGTTTATCTTCCCTTTTTGTCTAGAACTATGTATGGATAATTACTGTACTTTCCAGTCTCATGCTTCTGAAACTACTTGCTGATTTAGCAATTAGTGTCAACTGATTCTGTTTCATGTTTGATTAGATGGGAACCGTGATAGAGCCTGCTTCAGAATATTATACTGGCCGACTCTCCAAGAAAGAGAGGAAAAACACCCTCGCTGATGAGCTGCTCTCTGATTCAAACCTCACACAATACAGGTATGAAGGAATGATAACCAAAGAATTTGCTCCGTATATGTGCATACTCGCTGTTTGTCTTATATTAGGTTCAGGTAAGAGATGATCTGTAATAGTATTCTTAACATGTAAAAAGTTTGAAAGACATCTTGTGAGATTTGTATCGGCGGTACCCAAGAGACACTGATGAGCCATTGTGTGGATTTGATAAGCCTTGTTACCCTTTTAAACTTCAACTAATGACAATTATTTAGGGAAGGGACATAGGAAAACTGAACATACATTTTAGTTCTTCGGTTGGTCTTCTGTGGTGTTCTTACACAATATATCACTTTGCAGGAAACGGAAAGTTCAGGAGATTGAAGAAAAAAACAGACCTGGGGGAGTGGACAAGTGGAAGATTAGGGGCCAGCAATCAAGGCAACGTGCAAAGGAAAGAAGACATTGATTGTTCAGTTCTTGAAGAAGCGGATATAGCTCTTCTAGCATTTTTGTACTTGTTGAAAAAATTAGAATATCAACATTAAATGATGGATTTGTTGATCATTAGTGTGTCAGTGGTTTCAAATTAGATATCCTTGGAAGAAAATGATGGGGATTAATCAACTGGTAACATGTCAGATAATCATTTTCTATATGAAAATTTTGATATCTAATGGTTTTGCAATAGCTTCGAAGGCATTCCAATCTCGTTGATCTGATTGAGTTGGATTTTCTGTAAGCATTTTTAGATTCATGAACATTTCACATTTTTTACTTGATAGGGTTTGGTTTGTAAGCATTTTGAGATACATGAAGATTTCAGATTTTTGATCTGACAGTGTTTGGTTTGAAACATAACAGGATCTATTCATCTTTTTTTTATCCTGTTCCAAGTCAAACCGTTCAGTCATTTGACTCATTTCATTGGAAGGATTTATTGTTCTGTTTCTATTGTTCGCAGAAAAAAGTTCCTTGCTTCTATTCTGTCTTGGGTTACATTTTCATTCTGTTAATAGCTTAAATGCAAGAAAGTCATCTCATTTTTTTTATCATTGCTTCAGAACTCTATATATTTATTTACCAGCAGAAGAGGAAAACATTCTTTTACAAAAAGAAATAATAACAATATTGTATTGCCGTTGTTACATCTTAACTTCACTTCGACAGATTGATACATGCAGGGTGACCTAGACATACATGTATTCTCCCCCACGAATAGCATTTGCAGCACCTTTCCTGTCTTCTTCAGCCTCCTTCTCTCGTTCTTTCCAACTTTCATAGGCATGATCATCAGTTTGCAGTTCAAAGCGACAGACGGGGCAAGAATTATGTTCATCCTGTTGCCAGGGAAATATGTGAGAAATAACTTATAGGCGTCAAAGTGGCAGTATCATTAATGGATAACATTAATACCTTTAAATAAAAAAAGATTGGTTATAGATAGAACTCAAAGTCGGTTACTATCTCATCTAGCTAAAGTGCTCACCAGCCAAGGCTTAGAACAGGCGGGATGAAAGACATGCTTGCAAGGTAGCTCCTGCATCTTGTCATTAAGCACCAAATTCTCTGTACAAATGGCGCACCCAGCATCCTTACCCAGCTTCAGCAGGATTTCTTCTGTAACAATTGTAACTGGAAGCTTCGCCACCAGCTCTTTGCTGGCAGGTGGTGCTCTTGGTGCAACAGGTCCATCATCTAAGATCTTCATTCAGACAGACAGAGTCAGATTTCGTCGCCTTGCATAAAAGTAAACCGACTTCTTGAGATTTTTCCAGGTATAATAGATATCTTAGATTGAGCAACAGCCAAAACTCATCATGTATGTACTATTGATCACCGTTGCAAACTAAGGGAAGCATAAATATTCTGCTGGCAAGGATTTTGGTGGATATCTAACAATTAAGGAACCCCAGTGGTATATCATTGGGAAAGACCAAGTGATGTGCTTCAACATAATTTGGTCATGCAACTTTTGTATGCTCTGACAAGGTTTCATCGTCATTGTCTAATATCTATGGTGGATCAGTGCTCAGAACTTGAAATTATAAAACATTTTATTTTCTCTTCAAGTCATAGACAAGGTATATATACTAATGCAAAAACAAAAATTTCCAGCTTCAGTGGTGCTCGTACTTCTTATTGTTTTAAGTCACTCAAATATTCTTGCTGTCCAGGTTGTCATATCTTGGACAACTAATGATTTTGAAATAAAACACACTAGGATTTAATTTGTAAAATTAGTTAGAAGATTACCATTGGCACAATTTCATCAAGTCTTTCTACAAGCCGGCGAACCATATCGGTAGCTTCTTCTGGTGTCCTGCCTGCTTGGCCATCGGAAGATTCACCAGAAAATAAGGTAGCAGCCGCTGTCAAAAGGTTTGACTGCACCAGCCAATCTGGCTGTGGAGGTTCGGGGTCCACAGTAAGATGTCCCTCGAATAGAAATCCTGTAGGAAAAAAACATTTGTTTTAAAAAAAAGTACTACAGATGCCAAATTTAACAACTAAACTAACTGATCAGGTGTCAGGGTAAAAAAAAAAAGATAAAACACAAAACTGAAAAGATAATCCTACAGGACTTGACCTCTGTTAGTCCTAGTTTGTGCAGGAACCACATCTTCAGACCGATTTTCTACTTCACCCAAATGCTCCCTGGCTTGAGCAATGCAACTGAGCAAATGCTTCTTCTCTGCTGTTCCAGATATCAGTTGTTCAGCCTCTATGAACAGCGCTAACCCAGCATTCCAAAATCCAGGAGACGTGTATCTTGTTTTCAGAACAGTTGCAGTCCGACAAATTACAGTGTAGAACTGGGAAAGGTTAAATGCAGTTTATCAGAACAAAGAAACCAAAAGTAGATAATAAACATAAAGCCAATGAAACTTCAGTCGGCATTTCATATATGTTTGGAGTCTCTATCAAAGATAATCTAATATTGTATAAGTTATACTGAATTATATTTGCAACAAACCAGATGTTCAATTTGAGTTAAATGCGCAAAACAAAAAAATGTGCGACACTTCGAATACAGAAAAGGAGTACCAGATTACAAGGGGAAAATATTGAGATCATTTCCAGGGAAGATAGAAATTAACATTATCCAATCAGTTTTTCACCCTTTTGCTTTACTACTATCTTATACAGGATAAAGTCCATTTATAATATATCAAACGAGAATATAGATAACATACAAACATATAATGCAGACAACATACAAACATCCAATTTCTGAACAGATTCACGCATCCCCCTAATACACATCGACTTCAAAAACCTTTTCTAGCACCACGACTTCTGACCAAACAGCAGGAAGCACTTTTCTGTTACAAAAGTACATAAACTCTCGATGAGCAGGATAATCAGAATTCGGCAATTGCATGTAGCTAGTCTATCAAGAGCGTGTCACTTCAGTCAAATTTCTTCCGGAGAAGAGTTAGATTTCAGGCTTTTCGTTAAAAAAATTCGAACTATGAAAACAAAGGGGGACATCAATTAGATCTCTGATCAAATTGTAAGCATAAAACCCCTAAACCCAAATTACTTGGCACTGATCATGTGCTGAGCAAAAAAGAAACTGCGGTGGTGAGGCATTTTAATCTCTCAAAACTGAAAAATTAGGCTTATTAAAAAGCTGCTGAGGGTTAGTATCAAAATGAAACTAATGAAAGGTGTTAGTGACAAGAAGTAAAAGAAGACTACTCCTTTAACTCACCTGTGAAGGTGGTCATACGGATCAGATGTTCCCCTTGTACAGTTGTACTGTATTAATACACAGGTTTATCAATAAAGTTCAAACAAGTCAGGTCTCCTCCGGTACTTTCAAATACTTAACGTCTTTTCCTTCTCCATTTCAGTAAATGATTCTATTGCTATACCTGCAATGCCATTGCTTTAAACATCTTCCCAGTTTCGAGATTTGTCCCATTATTGATTCTATGACAACAAAAGTCGCATTTCAAACATTAAGTTTCCACTTCATTTTCTATATAATATTCAAATTCTAATGCTTGCCCCCTCACCCCCCATGTTTCTAACTTGTACTTAACTATTCTCTACTCTCTTCCATTAAAAACTATAATGTCCATAACAAACCTGCACAAAAAAAAGGTTTTCTTTGAACCCTTTGTAATCTTGTAAATTAACTAGTCTAAAAGTAGGAACTCGGCTGTATATTCAGGAGTCCCATACATTATATAATAAGTTCCAAATTATTTTACCTACCTATATCTTTGGTCGAAGATCTTGAGCTCCTATTGACATTTAGAAACTTCACTATTGTGGAAAAGAGCGATCGAAGTAGGATTAAGGAAAAAAATTATTGCACTGGACAGCCATTGTGACTTCGTGTCCAGAGGTCTATGACTGGAACTATATTATGTAATAAGATTATTATGACAGCACTTAAGGGGAAAAATTAAACTTATACATGATGCATATTGATCTTGAAAAGGTTCATGATAGAGTTAATTGCAAATGTTAATAACGATATGCATGAGTAGCTTATGTAGAAGCTATAAAGACAGGTGTAAAGATGTATCAACTTATGTAAAGGCAATGAATACTTTGTCAGCTGATACTCTTACACGTTTAACCACAGAGTTCCTTTCTGGAGCAATCAACACACTCAGTTTGGCAGGTATGATATACCTCTGGAATCAAGTTTCCAGATACTGACTTTTAGATCAAATTCAGCAACAGAAAGCCACTATTTCTTCTGTTGGACCTAAATTTTTCATTTGGCAACATCATGAAATGCTATGTGATGCAAATAACTGAGAGCAAAGCAGCAACACGTAAGTATTAGAAAACCAAGCAAAGTCGACAACTGGCATTTTTCTCCTGAATAATGATGTTGACGCACTATAATCAACTGACCTACATAGTAACTATGGCTTTATGAGCTGAGCTCCTGCCACAGATTACTGCAGTTCTAAGTTCCCAATCCAAATTAAACCATTCAATCCTGCACTTGCTCCTGCCTTTCTCCCAAGGAGGAATTCACTGAGAAATACTTTAATGACTTTGTCATGGAGTACGGAATACTCCCTACAGAATATGGCATACACTCAAACTCTGTAACAGTATCCCTAGTACCAGGCACCTTTTCTACTCCTAATCTCCAACCCAAAAACAAAATTCAACAAAATAACATCACTTTTTAATTTGCAACAGAATCTGTATTCTGAATGGTTCTCTGTCAAGTAAGACGAAAAGTTTAATCCCAAGAACTTAAAACGGGAATCAAGGACAATCAATCATAACAAGAAAGTATCCCAAACCTATTAGTTTCTGTGTTCTAACATAATTGCTTTCTTCTTTACCACAGCGCTATCATATTTACTTTGCTAGGTTCATGATTCACTAAGTCCGAAAAATTCTACTATAAAACAGCAGTTTAATTATTTGCTTAAACATATAACATTGGCCTATATAGACATCTGTCAGGGCCAAAAGTACCAATAAAAACTCACAATCTTAAAAACAACTAGCTGAAGAAACGAATACAAACAAACCCACAGTAAAATTCACAGAAATCTAAGTACTTTCAATGACGTACATAATCAATCAACGAAATGAAATAAGGCCGAATTAACAATAAAAATAAAATAAAAAAGAAAAATGAGGGAGAAGGGTTTAACCAACCAAATTTTGGATAGAAGGAGAAGCAGATGAATACAACTTTTGGAGAAGGGATTTAATGGTGGAAACCGATTCTTCAAACTGTTGTTTCTTGTTGAGCTGCTTCTGGAGTTGTTGTAAAGTCTTCTCTAAATCTGCTGCATCGCCATGAATTGTGTCCATTTCTTGCCAATCACAGTTGAAAAAGGGAACAAAAAGAAACCAAGAATCCGATCTAACAATCTAATTAATTGAATAATTGCTCGTTTTACCTACGGAATGGGAAGTTTTATATGTACTATAAGATGTCTGGAATTTCTTGAAGAAGAGGAAACCAGGGAAGAAGATGATGATCCTTCTTCGATTAGGCTAGTATCCCCCGAAATGCAATTTTAATTTTAATGGTTCTTTAACTTGGGCCTCATTATACATTGGGTCTATCTGATTCGGTACCATAGGCCCGCAATTTCACCTAGCCCAATTCATAATTTTCCCACCTATCCCTTTTACCCTATTAAAGTAGAAGACATGAAGCTTATGCGACAATTACGTATGCATCTGTTTTGGCTCCAATGCACCATATTTCAGATTTCAGGAGTCTTTTTGCCACGTGTAAGTCTCTTTTAATTAGAAGCTATATAATTCTTTTTTTTAAAAAAAAAACACATGTTTTAGATGTGACACTTATCCAATGAAAAAATTCTACAAATAAGAATCAGTTACATTTCAAACGAATGGATATATTAATTCAAATTCAAATGTCCAATCGTACAGTTTTGCAGGCTTAATATAAACAAAAAATAAAAAAACTTAAATCCAGTAATTAAGAATAATGCATTATAAACTAATTATTTATTATTCCCTTATAACCTCAGATTTATAGGTATATTTTTTTAAGCCCCAAACCATAGCATAAATGATATATACGCCAAATTAATTCCTCAAAAAAAATAGTAATTCAATTAGATTTTAATAAAATAGTAATTTAGAAGGGGCGCCCGGGCATCTGCCTGGGCCAAACATCTAGTTGTATTTATATAGCAAGCATTTAATCAAAATGGTTGTGGTGGAGTGGAAGGGACTCCTTCACCTTTAACCATATGTTGAGAGTTCGAATATCGCCATGGGCATGGAGCAACCTTAAATACTTTGGTCAGCTGTCCCACCCATCTAGGTGCCTACAATTCTGTGAGAGGGATTAGTTACTATTGCCGACGGTATACACCCTGTATATATGCAAATATATATATATATATATATATATATATATATTAAAGGAGAATTTTCAATTAACTAGATAGACAAATCTACATGGCAAAAAATTAGATAGCTAAGTCCACATGTCGCAACTACATCACTCCATCATTTAACGGTAATTTTTTAAAGTAAACTTGTAAATTTATATATAAAACTAAATTAACTAAAAATTACAAAAGGAAACAAAAATTATAAACTAAAATCCTAATAAAAAAAATTTCAGATCAATGTATTTTTGGCAAGTGCTATCATCAATGTTTCGGCTTCCTCTTATAAGTAGGTTAATATGGAATTTCTAAGTAAGGGAATCATAGTGCATCAGATTAATCAATCTGTTCGCTTGAATTTAAGATCTTTGGTTGCTTCATGATTAGTGATTGTTAATTATTAATTTTTTCTTTGCATTATAAAAAAGAGTGAACCTAAAAATAGGTCATTGAACTATTAAGTAATTCTAATACAGGTCATCAATCAAATTTATTTGTATAACAGGTCACCTTACTAAGCAAAAAATTCATCCGAGATCATTCTATTAATTTTGGCCGTTAAATAGTGACGGAAATCCATTTTCACATGCTTTTGAGTTTAGGGATATTTTTGTCATTTTCTTATTTTTAAATTTTCATTTTTTAAAAAAAATTATTTTTTTTATTTTATTTTTTTACAATTCTTCTTTTTATACTTCCTAACATGTATATGCTAGTAGTATAATTTTAAAATTAATTTAAATTTTGTATTTTAACTTCTAAATTATAAAATTTTTTTCCCCTAAGAGAAGTTATTTCCCCTAGGTTATTCTGGGAGTTAAAACGTAACAGAAAGCTATTTTTCACCTACTTTTGGGTCATGGGACAATTTCATCAATTTATATATATTTTTTAAAATATTAATATTTTATACGATTCTTCTTCTTTTGCTTCCTAACTTGTATATGTTACTACTAGTATCATTATTAAATCTCAAAAATTAATTTTTCATTTATATTTTAACTTTTGGTTTATAAAAAATAAATAAGAGAAATTCAAATTGAACTAAACGTGAAAATTAATAATTAAATGATTACATCGAGTTGAAAATAATTAAATAACCTAAAAGAAACAACTTGTCTTAGCTAATTCTTTTAATTTTTCTTTTAGTTTAAAATGGTAAACTATTAATTTTCATGTTTACTTTAACTCGAATTTTTCTTCTTCATTTCTTAATTTTTTTAAAAAATTTTATAATCTGGAAGTTAAAATACAAAATTAAAATGAATTTTTGAAATATAGAATTATACTACCAGTATATACAAGTTAGGAAGTATAAGAAGAAAAATTGTTAAAAAAAAAAGAAAAAAATAATAATTTTTTTCAAAAAATAAAAATTTAAAAATAATAAAATGACAAAAATATCCCTGAACCCAAAAGCATGTGAAAAATGGATTTCCGTCACTATTTAACGGCCAAAAATAACAGAGTGATCTTGGATGAATTTTTTGTTCCGTAAGTTGACCTATTATACAAATAAATTTGATTGATGACCTATATTAGAATTACTTAATAATTCAATGACCAGTTTTAAGGTTCACTCTTTAAAAAATTACATGTTGTTACCAATATAGGTTCCAAATCTGCCGGATAAAAAGATAGTGTTCTATGAATACTTTTTTTTTTTCCTGATTTTTGCTTGAACCAATGTAATTGCAACCTTTATTAGTTTAATATCTCTTTGATGCTTCAGTTTGATTTGTCAAAATTTCGAGTGGTTCACTCAAGAAACATATGATAACTTTAAGTATCTTGTGCGGAGTAAAAAGATAGATTGGTGCATGATGAATACCTTTTCTCCACCTTAGCGGATAAAAAGATAGTGAATTTGTATAATTGCAACGCTTATTAGTTTAATATAATTGCAAAAATTATATTGCATTAAAATTACGGAAGAAAAAAATTAACAAATTGTACTCCATATTTGATTACATCGTAATCAAATTAAAATTAAACCTTGGAAAAAAAAGAAAGAAAACAAAAGTGAATAACAATTGTATAATAATTCAGAATAATTCGTTAAAAGTATTATATAGTAATTGTAAATTTATAAATAAAACAAAATTAACTATGAGATGTTAATGGTTAAAAAAGGTGACAAAAATGAAACTTCAAACTAAAAAAATCCAAAGATAACTAACTGAAAAAAAAAAACTTAAAAACCCAATTTGATGTAAAAAAAAAAAAAAAAGCCTAACGACCATGATGAGTAAACCAATTCACTGATCAATGTTCATTTTTATAGTTATAACCATTAATAGAGTTTTTTTTATAGTTATTGTAAATTTTTCTAATGGTAATATATTTTTTGACCCTTGACAGGCAATATTAATAATCGATTACTATTGATTACATCATGTAAAAATTACAAAGGAAAAAAATTAATCATAATAATACTGATAATATAATTGCATATTAATCTGTCAAACATTTAATAAGGTTATAATATATTATATTATATACATTATAAAATTATATAATAAATGATTACTAATTTAATATAACAATGTAATATATTTATTATATTTTTTCATGTGATATAATGATAAGAAAAAATTCATATTATAATGATAAAACAAAATGTGGAGATCAAAATGGAGAAATTTTTCTAAAATGAGAAAAAGAATAACAGTTCTTTTTGAGAGACAAACAGTAGAAGAAAAACATATCGAAAAATTGAAAATTATTACATGGAGAAAAAATATGTAGAGAATAATAAAATATGAAAAAAGAAAAAAAATATTTAGAGAATAATAAAATATGAAAAAAAAACCGAGATAATCGTAAAAAATGAAATAATTGCTGTAAATTTTCAAGAAATTAAGCGTCAAAGAAAGCTCATAAAATTAAGAAAAAAAAAAAGCGAAGACTATGCAACCAAGAAAAATTTGAAGTAAACACAATATTATGGTAAAAATATATTAACAAACATTTAACGAAAGATTAAAAAAGGTATGTAGTGAAAAGAAAATAATTATGAAAATAAATAATTAAACTTTTTAGAGGGAGAGTTTGAAATATATAACACATGTAGAAGTATTTAAAGAGATCATTATGAAAAATTAAGAAAATACTTTTAAGATATATAAAGCCATAAATCAATAAAAAGAAAACGATTTACAACAAGTTATATTGGATGATTTCGATTATTGAAAATTATTTCAAATATACTTAAAATAACAAAATACATTGACATAAAATATTTTCACAATTTTTGTTTATATCATTAATATTATTTTTTTACATGTATCGTTCTGTCGGAAATGTCATATAATCGTTAAATTATTAAACTCATATATATCTTAAACAACCCACACAACGTGCGGGCTAAACAGTAGGATATATTAAAGCAAAGTTCTTAATCGACATGTGTCGCCCAAAGAGTAAGTTTAGCCAATTATGCCACGTGTTGTCACCAAAATTCTCCTTCATTAAATAGTTAAAAGTTTATTACTAATATGTAAAATTCTTAAATTGAATTAAGTAATTAACCAATAGTTAATTTCGAAAAAAAATAAACACGTCTTTGGTAATTATTGACAAATATATGACATAAAGAAACATTAATCATCAAATTAATAATTGTATTAAGAATACAGTTTGAAACTGATTCTGGATACATTAAACGTAAGTTAATATTAATTTTTAGATAATTCTGTTTGATATATTTTCCAAAAATTAAAAGATATTAGTTACCAAAAGAAAAAAAGATTGTTACCAAATAACTATATTATGAATACAATTCGAAACCAAGTCTACCTACATTACAAGTATGTTAATATTATTTCTTAGATGATTGGTATATTTTCCATAAATAAAAAGAGACTAATTGCTAAAACGAAGAGATTATTTACCAAATAGTTATACGAGTACAATTCAAAACTAAGTCTGGATACATCA